ACACCGCGCTCACGCAGGGCGGTTACAGGTCGCTCACCACTGTTGACTCGACGTTTGGGCCGGATCGTGCCGTAAAACTCATTTTCTATCTGCAGGACTGAAGTGTTGAGTTGCTGGTATTCGCCGTTTTTTATGATGCCTTTGCTGGCGTATTCAGGATAGTTCTGCGTCAATGCCGCGACCATGGACTCGGTATAGTCCTGCAGAGAGTTGTACGAAATATGCAGGGCACTCTGGGCGCTGCTCTGGTAACCGAGCGGACCCATTCTCAAACTGGTGGCAAACGGCAGGTGTTGTGAACCTTCATCAAAAGGCTGCAACTGATGCTTCATGTTGCGTGTGAAAGATCGACACACAGCCGGCGATGCGCCAAACAGATAAATTAACAGCCAGGACCAGCGGCGGAAATTACGGATCAAGCCAAAATATGCGGCTGTACGCTCATCCTGTGAGTTCACCCCTAACGCAAGCCACATTTCATCGGGTAATGAAAAATTGTAATGGATGCCAGAAATGGTCTGCATCAGTCGCCCGTAGCGCAATCCCAGGCCGCGGCGATAGATGGTTTTGGTTCTGCCAATGTTAGAACTACCGTACTGGCCAACGGGAATGTCGTCATCTTCGCCGACGATGCAGGGCATGCTGCTGGGCCATAACAACTCGTCACCAAGTTCGCTGTACACAAAGCGATGGACATCGGTGAGTTCACGCAGGCACTTCTGTGCGCTGTCATGGACTGTTGTTATTAATTCAAGTTGCGCTTCACAGAAATCGGTTGTGATTGCCGGGTGGGTCAGCGGTGAGCCCAGAGCTTCAGGGTGGGGGCGCTTCGATAAAGAACCATCCGGTGCTACGCGAAGACTTTCTTTCTCGACACCGCGCAGTAACCCAGCCATAACCTTCGGCTGGGTGATGAGCGCTTCAAAAAATTCGGGTGTGATTGTCCCGTGTGCCAGGCTCGCTTGTGTATCAGCGTTAGCCATCCCCTGCCCCGGTTTGGTTAAGGGCGACTAAGTTATGGGCTCCGCTGGCTTGGGTCAACACCCGATTAGTGTGACCGCAAGCGGCCTAAAGCTTCGGTCCAGCGTCAACGATGGCAGGATCAACGTCGAATTTTTTGAAATTATCGAGAAATTTACTTACCAGACTGGAGGCAGCTGCATCATATGCCGCTGCATCTGACCACGCCTCACGAGGGTTCAGCAGACTGCTGTCTACGCCGTCAACGCTGACAGGAATGTCCAGGTTGAAGCCGTCGATGTGTGTTGTTGGCGTATTTTCAAGGCTGCCGTTCTGAATGGCAGCAATGATTGCTCGCGTGACCGGTATTTTGAAGCGTGATCCAACACCGTAGCCGCCACCGGTCCAACCAGTATTCACCAGATAGACCCGTGAACCAAATTCTTCGATGCGCTTGATTAGCAGGTCTGCGTACACACCCGCTGGTCGTGGAAAGAAGGGTGCGCCAAAACAGGTGGAAAAAGTTGCGGAGTACGCTTCGGTGGAGCCAATTTCTGTAGAACCTACAGCTGCGGTGTAACCTGATAGAAAGTGGTATGCCGCAGCCTCTTTGCTTAACAGAGATACCGGCGGCAGTACGCCGCTGACATCGCATGTCAGGAAAATGATGTTATTAGGCTCGCCGGCTCTGTTTTCAGGCACGCTCTCCGCAATATTGGATCGCGGATAACAGGCGCGGGTGTTTTCTGTAAGGCTTGAGTCGGTGTAGTCAGGCTCACAGGTAACTGGATCGATGACAACGTTTTCAACAATCGCGCCAAAACGTATCGCATCAAATATAACGGGTTCGTTCTCACGTGACAGGTCAATACATTTTGCGTAACAGCCGCCTTCAAAATTGAAAACCGTACCTTTGCCCCAGCCGTGTTCGTCATCACCAATCAGTAGTCTTGAAGGGTCTGCAGAAAGCGTTGTTTTTCCTGTGCCGGACAAACCGAAGAACAGGGTGACATCACGATTGCTGCCCATGTTCGCCGAGCAGTGCATTGGCAGCACATCTTTTTCCGGTAACAGGAAGTTGAGCACCGAGAACATGGATTTTTTCATTTCGCCGGCGTAACGCATGCCCGCAATCAGTACTTTGCGCTGGGCAAAGTTGATCATTACGGTGCCGTCGCTGTTGGTGCCGTCGCGTTCAGGGTCGCACTGAAAGTTGGGCGCGTTGACAACCTGCCAGACAACTTTGTTGTGTGGATTGAAGTGCTCAGGGTTAATAAACAGCGAGCGACCGAACAGCGCATGCCAGGCATATTCTGTGGTTACTTCGATGGGCAGGTAGTGCTCCGGATCAGCGCCAACGTTCAGATGAGAAACGTAACTCTCGCGTTCCTGGAGATACAGGTTTACCCGATCCCAGAGGCTGTCGAACACTTTGGGTTCGATCGGCTGGTTAATGGGTCCCCAGTGGATGGACTCTGAGGTAGATGGCTCATCAACAATGAAGCGATCCTTGGGAGAGCGTCCAGTGCGGTGGCCGGTTTCTACTACCAGAGCACCATTGGCTGCAAAGTGACCTTCACCGCGTAGCACGGCGTGTTCAGCCAGAGTGGCAGAACTCAGGTCGGTGTATGTGTCGGTTTTCACTGTGCTATTCATGTCGACGGCCATGGTGCTCTTTTTGTTTCACAAAATGGGTCGCGGATTATGCCAGACCTCGCCGCTACGAGGTAATCAAAAGTTTGCGCGAGATTGTAATGACATTGGATAAAGCCATATAGCATTGCTGTGACGCCCATCAGTGCACAACATCCGGCGTTGGTGCGGGTGGGTCGCTGTTGAGCAAAGTACCAATATCCACTGCATCATAGCGATAGCGTGTGCCGCAAAATTCACAATCCACGGTTATTTCACCCAGCTCGGCGAATAATGCCCTGATCTCGCCTGCATCAAGTACACGCAATGTACGGTCACTTTTGCTGCGGGAACAGGTGCATCGATAGCTCAGCGAACGCGGTGGATACAGGCGACAGGGATATTCGGCAAACAGTCGGCGCAGCAGGGTTTCGGCCGTCAGGGTTAACAGCTCTTCGTCGGTCACGGTATTGGCCAATGTCACAATGCTGTGCCATGCGTCATCAGCGTGGTCCAAGTTGATTTCCGACGCTAAATCTTCGTCTGGCAGTCTTTGCAGGAGCAAACCTGTGACGCTGGTGGGTGTGCTCACCAGAAACAGTCGCGACGGCAGTTGCTCGGAGTTGAGCATATAACTCTCAAGATTGTCTGCCAGAGACCCATCCTGCAGAGCAACCAGCCCCTGATAGGGAACCTGGTCGGCGTCAGCCGGAGGAATAAGCGACAAGGCAAGCTGTCCTTCTCCAAGCCAGGCAGCAAGGCTGTCCGTGTTCTGCGGCGGCGTCTGCTGAGGATCAAGATGGGCAATGCCGCGCAGATATTGGCGTTCACGGCACTCAGCCAGCGTGCGTATCAGCGCCCCATCGCTGCCTTTTGACTGCAATGCGATGGCGCCATCGAATTTCAGGTTGTCCGCGAACATCGAAACCACCGCAAACATTTCATTCAGCAGTTTTTTTATCGCATCTGGATATTCGTTAACTGAGTGTGCGGTTTGGGTTGTCTGTGTCAGCCGCACCCACTGCCCGCGCACCGGGTAATTTTCGAAAGTGAAGCGATGCAGCTGGTCGTTCTCTGTTATTTCGCTGGGTTCAGGTGTATCAGAATCAGTCAATGAAAGGCTGCCTTTTTAATCGAGAATCTCGTCAGGGTCGGTGAAGTGCTCACTGCGGTCTTTCAGTTTGCGCAGATCGCGGCGATCTTTTTTGCTGGGTTTGGTGCTCGGTACCTGTAACCCGGCCCGCTCCATTTTGCGACGCGAACTCATTATTTCGCGTTTTTCTATGCTTTCTGGCGTTTCCTCGTAAAGGGCCTGAGCAATTTGCGCAGAACCCCGCTGCTCTGCCAGGTCTGTCACAATCACCGTCATCAGAACGGTGCCTTTGCGGACCTCAACAGTCTGGCCAACGCGAATCGTTTTTGCCGGTTTACTGCGCTGGCCGTCAACGTGCACCTTGCCCCCTTCAACTGCCGCCTTTGCAAGCGAACGTGTCTTGAAGAAACGAGCTGCCCAGAGCCAGCGATCAATGCGTACGGGTGACATTTATCGATGGGCAGATGTCTGCAAAATGATCAAACGTAGGATAGCCGAGATCGGCACGGCTTGGCTGCTGGGAATCAGGCGTGGCGATGGCATACACACCTCCTATTTGATGGCGAGCGGCGGCGTTCAGAACCGGCACGTTGTCATCGACAAAAATACACCGGCCAGGATCGTAGGGATAATCGACGAGCAGGGCCTGCCAGAATTCATCTGCTTCTTTGGGGGCATGGTAGTCCTGGCTGGAGACCACAGCATCCACTTCAGCGCAGATCTGAATTTTGTGGTCTTTCACCGCAATGGAGCTGCGATGTGCGTTGGTGGCGATCACAGACAGGCAATCAGCGGTTTTCAACCAGCGCAGGAAGTCCAGTGCGCCCGGCCGATATGCCAGCAGGTCAACGGCTTGATGATGTTCTGCAATGAGGTCCACACCCGTGAAGGCGCTCCAGTATTCAAAACTGTAGTACTCAATAGTGCCGTGTATCTGTTGCATATGGGTGAGCAGCTGCGCTTTGGCTGAAGCAACAGGCATACCCCGATGGCGTGCAAAAGCTTCGGGTACCAGTTCATTCCAGACTCGGTTGTCATATTTGAGGTCCAGCAGCGTGCCATCCATATCGAGGAACACACAATCGATATTATCCCAGTCAGGGATCTGCTCAGCTGCAAGGCTGGGTAAGTAATGCGGCATGTGATGGTTATTGTTCACGGGGTGTTCATCATATTACAAATGGCGGTCATAGCGCTGACATTGCAACCAAGGTTGGACAAGCATAGCGCAGGACTTTTGTTACACTGCCCGGCTGATTGGCGGCTGAAACGCCGCCTGTATACGTGTGAAACGGAAAGTTAAGCGGAAACTGTTATGGCTGAATTACCTTTTGTTGTCCCTCAAGACGCCCTGATTGCTATTGTGGAAGATGCGGGAGCGGCGATTCTCGCGGTTTATGAAGGTGATTTTGAAGTACAGAATAAAGCAGACGAATCGCCTTTGACCCAGGCGGATCTGGCCGCCCACAAAATCATTGTCGCGGGCCTCCAGGCAGCGACGCCTGAAATTCCGATCATCTCTGAAGAGTCAGAACCGCCTGGTTTTGACGTGCGCAGTCAGTGGCCCACGTACTGGCTGGTTGACCCCCTTGATGGCACCAAAGAATTTGTCAATCGTAATGGCGAATTCACCGTGAATATCGCGTTGATCCATAACGGAGAAGCGGTTTACGGCATTGTCGGTGTACCGGTTCAGCAGCGTGTCTATATCGGTGATGTGGTGGCTGGCACGGCCTGGTGCCTAGATCAGGGCCAGATGCGTACTATCCGCAGCCGCAAGATGCGTGCAGGGCAATCTGAACTGGTGGTTGTGGCCAGCCGTAGTCACGGCGGTGAGCGCCTGGAGAATTATCTGGATGAGTTAGCACAGACGTTCAGCGCGCTTGAACGGCAGCCGGTCGGCAGCTCTCTGAAACTCTGTACGCTGGCGGTGGGAGACGCAGATTTTTATCCGCGCCTTGGCCCGACCAGTGAGTGGGATATTGCCGCGGCCCATGCGGTGTTGCGTGCAGCGGGTGGTGAGGTCTACACGTTTGATGGCAAGCTGTTGGCGTATAACTCGAAAGAAAGTCTGTTGAATCCTGAATTTGTCGCGGTTGCTGATGCGGGCTTTGACTGGTTTTCTGTGTTACCTGATCAGCCGCCGGTTCAGATCGAGCATTGATGCGAGATTGTCACGCAAACGTTGGCCGGAAACAGCAGTTTTGCAGTTCAGTTTGAAGGGGTGGTTGAGCGGGGTGGGGTTTTGGCCTCAACTAGCCGGACTGCACACTGTGTAATCGCCCTGCCGAGGAAATAACACTGTATAAGCATACAGCGCCGGCTAGTGAGGCTTGCCATGTTACAGAAAAAACGCGTAAAAAAAAGCCTCCCTCGCCTGTGTTGGCCCAACCCATCCAAATTCTCTTTCTAGTTCAATATGTTAGGTTGATCGAATCCATAATATCTTCATTATTCTGCGTTTTTGAAGCCCCGCCCACTTACAATTCACCCACATCTTAATGCGCAAAAAATTTGCCTATACCCAGTTACCTTTGACACACTCCAAGCTCACCTGAAAAAGGTGGCAACCAATGACCGGTTGCAAAAAGAGCTTCGATAGCTGTGGTGGAGATGAATATCGGCTCTGCCTCGAATCAGCTAAAATCAGCTTTGCACCAGGGAGAACCTGAATAAAATCAATTAGATACACGGATTTAAACTAACATAAGCAAGCGCTGAGGCTCACGTCATTAGATGTCCGCATTGGGAGACGTACGTGGACAAGTTAGACGACAGTGCAATGCATGTGGAAGCACAAGTGCAGCTGCATTCGAATGAATCCGTGGCGCGGCTAGTGGCTTTTGCCGGCCCCTATTTTTTCTGGGCCACTGTTTTCAGCATTACATTGGGGATTTTCTGGCTGCGGTGAGCGGCTACGCGTTGGGTATTGCTCAGGCAAATTCCCGCCGCATTAACCACTTCAAAGCCTGGTCGTACTGGTCGAACAGTTCGGTTTTATCCATCGCACAAGACAGATGGTACAAACCCGCGAGCTCAGGTTCGCCTAAGCTGCCATCAACGACGATCGCAATGCTTGAATGGACCCTTGGCCGATAGGTCGACAGCGTAAAATGGCGTAATGCTTCCTCCGCTGCACGGTCTCGTGCAACCTGCACACCGCGCAAATCTACCAGTTGTGGCAGATAAGGGTCGAAGCCCGGGTCAGCGAGGACGTCCTCACCGAGGCTAACCAGACTGGGCAGATTAATTTCAGCTTCACCTCTAATGGTGACCAGACCATCTTCAAGGTTCATGTGATAGCCGCAAGGCATGTGGGATCCATAAGCAAAATACTTTAGTAACTATAGTTCACCCTCAGCGCTTGAACTGTGCGCCTGCGCTCACCTTGTCTGTAGATTTATGGCATTGGCGTAGTAATCCGCTCTGCTGCTTGGAACAATGCAGCGGGCACACTCAACGGAAGGTAAAGATTAATGCGGTACGTCATTTATGGCGCTGGTGGTATCGGTGGCGTTGTCGGGGCGCGGTTGTTTGCCAGTGGCGCAGATACGACGCTGATTGCGCGGGGTGAACATGGTCGGGTGCTGCGCGACCGGGGTTTGCGTCTGGTGGCGCCAGACGGCGTTGCCACTTTGCCAATTCCCACAGTGGAGCACCCCAGTGCGGTAGATTTTGATGATCAGACGGTAGTCATGCTGTGTATGAAATCCCAGCACACGTTGCAGGCATTAGAAGATCTCGCGCGCTGTGCACCGGCTGGGATTCACGTGCTGTGTATGCAGAATGGTGTTGCCAATGAATCACTAACGTTGCGCTTTTTCGCCAATGTTTATGCCAGCGTAGTTGTTTTGCCTGCTTTGTTTCTCCAGCCTGGTGAAGTGGTCACCCATGCAGATGGTGCTGGTGCGGTGCTGGATACGGGGTGTTTCCCTCGCGGTACAAATGCTGTCGTGGATACCATTGCTGCGGATCTAACCACCGCCGGTTTCAGTGCCCGGCCGGATGCAGAGGTCATGCGACAGAAATACGGCAAACTGCGGGTCAATCTTTTGAATGTGCTGCAGGCAGGCTTGACGGACTTCAACGCATCGAAACCAGTACATAAAATGTTGCGCGACGAAGCCTCCGCGTGTTTTGCGGCAGCCGGCATTGATTGCGCAAACCGCAAAGAAATGGCCGAGCGACAGCAAGGTGTTTTCACCATGGTTGATATCCCAGGCTACGAGCGCACCGCTGGGTCTTCCTGGCAGAGCCTTGCGCGGGGTACCGGAGATATTGAAACGGAATACCTCAATGGTGAAATCTGCTGGCTGGGACGTCTGCATGGTGTGCCGACCCCGGCCAATGATGCCTGTGTCGCTATGGCGCGTGCGCTGGTGCGGCGCAATGCCGGACCTGGGCTTTTGTCATCTGCCGAGTTTTTAGCGCAAATTGAAGCGGCAACGCCCGGGGTTGCGAGTTAACAGTATTTTCGTTTTGTGGTCTGGTGTTTGCGCTGCGCGGCAGACAGCTGTTCACTCTGTTTGATGGAATAACCCTTGCGACGCTGAGCGGCAATTTTGGCGAGTTCCGCTTTGGCGTGGTTACAGGCCTTTTCTGCCACAGCAGCCTGCTTTGCCAGCACCTGCTGCCTGTGTTGCAGGTTAACCCGCCGTTGTTTGCTGGCCTTCATGGTGCGATCAGACAAGTCTTTCAAGTGTCTGAGTTCTGCTGCTGTCAGCGGGGGGAAACGGGTTACCGCCTCCTTCGGTGGTACGTAGCGCTGCTGGCCGGCACAACCGCTATCTGTAAACAGCAACTGGCCGTTGGTTTGCGTACATTGGAAAATCGGGCGCGCCACCTGGCTTGACCAGGCAAACATGGGCACGCTGCACAGCAGAATTAATACGCCCTTGATTAGAGGTATTGTGCTGGGTGGTGCTTTTCCAGGCAGGCTGGAAAACGTAGTTGTTGTTTTGACCATGGAGCCAATTTAGCTCAGATGCTCAGAGCGTATCAGCCGCCTTTTTACCCCAGGTGTGTAGGCACTTGTCAGTGGTGGAGGTAAGCGTGTTCGAACTCGAAATTATCTGTACACGCTGTTCACCCAGGCTCTGCGGGCCCGGGGTGAAATGTTTCTCGCAGCAGGCTTCTGGTTACAGGCTGTCCAGCCACTCGTCGTCGGAACCTTCGTTGATATCAGCAAACAACGGCGTCGACATGTAGCGCTCTGCGGTATCGGGTAGCATCGCGAGGATGACACTGCCGGCTTCTGCCTGGTCTGCAACCTTCAAAGCCGCAGTGAGTGTAGCGCCTCCGGATATGCCGGTGAAAATCCCTTCCTGCTGCGCAATTTTCAGCGCATTCGCCATGGATTCTTCATCATTGATGGTGACAATCATATCCGCCACTTCGCGGTCTAACACACTGGGAATAAAATCTGGTGTCCAACCCTGGATTTTGTGTGGCGACCAGTCGCCACCCGATAACAAGGCAGCTTGTTCCGGTTCGGTGGCGACAACTTTTAAATCAGGTCGGGCAGCTTTCATCACGCGCCCAGCGCCACTGAGTGTGCCGCCTGTGCCCCATCCGCTGACCCAGTAGTCCAGTCGTTCTCCAGCGAAGTCTCTGAGGATTTCTGGACCGGTGGTGTTGGCGTGATAAGCCGGGTTGGCAGGGTTTTCAAACTGCCTGGTCAGGAACCAGTTATGTTTTGCGGCAAGCTCTTCGGCCCGTTTCACCATACCTGAGCCGCGCTCTGCTGCAGGCGTGAGAATTACTTTTGCGCCCAGTGCGCGCATGATCTTGCGCCGCTCAACGGAAAAAGACTCTGCCATGGTGGCAACAAAGGGGTGGCCCATCACTGCGCAGACCATGGCCAGCGCGATACCGGTGTTGCCGGAGGTGGCTTCAATAACGGTTTGCCCCGGCGCAAGTGTACCCTTGTCTAACGCATCTTTGATCACGGCATAGGCAAGGCGATCTTTGACGGAAGACAGTGGATTAAAAGCCTCTACCTTCACGTACATCTCAACATGGCTCGGAGCAATGCGGTTAAGTTTGACAACGGGCGTATTGCCGATGGTTTGTAATATATTGTCGTATTTCACTGTGGGACTCCGGCTGCTGGGCTTTGAGTGGGGTTGTATACCTTTTGCGCCTGCGATGTACAAGTTGTGCGGAGCCATGGGGCAAAACCCTGTTGGCATAAGCTCATAGCAGACTCAGGGTTCAAGTAGCTTGGCACTTATAGCCTGGAGCAATTGGTGGTCGAAGTGCTGATCTGCCGGTGAGGCGGAATTGACGGTGACCGTCATGCGATCGCTTTGCTGAGGTAGCGCAAACAAGGTGATGGCAACACTCTGCTGTGCTTCACCTTCTGCGTATAAGATGACAAAGCGGTCTGTATCGGCTCGTTCTTTAATAGTGATGGCTGAGCTTTCCAGGGCGCGCACGACGATGTCAGCTGCGCCGATGAATGGCCTGTCTATGCTGGCTTGTGCGGCGCTGGCTAATTGTGAGGACGCCATCAGCAGGCCGACCATTAACCACAGCGGGTATCGCGAAGCATCGAAACTGTTCAGGTTAAGCATGCTGATGACCGCTGCGCATGTTGCGTATGTGGGCAATCATTAAGAGCGTGACACCGATAACCGTGAGCGCAATTTCCATATGCTCGCCGAACCAATGTGTGACCGCAACAAACATCAGGGTGAGACCGATGGCACCCATCATCAGGGTTAAGGCGCTACTGTGCCGCTGATAACCGCGCCACAACGCCAGCGCGCTGATCGGTATGGCCAGCAGAAGAAGCGCCCAATGCACACGAGTTTCGCTGTGATTCAGCCAGCCGCTCAACAAAGGACCTAACAGCACAGCAAAAGGAATGGCCAGGCAATGCAGCAGACACAAGCCCGATAAAAACACGGCAACGCGGTCTAAGCTGTTGGTGGTTGTGTTTTTGGGTGGCGTCATGAGATTGCGTTTCGCAAAAGGGCGACTAAGCTAGCGCGACTTATCTCCTTACGCAACTCTCTTTAAGCGACTGGGGATTTCCCTACATTGAGTTGACCATGTCTGATACCGATCAACAAAAATGGGACCAGCGATATACACAGCAGGTCCAGCGCGAAACGCCAAGCCCCGCGCCATGGCTGGTGGAGATGTTGCCAGAGTTGCCGGCAGGCACTGCACTGGATCTGGCCTGCGGACGTGGTGGCAATGCCATTTATCTGGCTGGACGTGGTTATACAGTCGATGCAATCGACATATCGCCCGTGGGGCTGCAATTGGCTCAGGAGGCAGCGCTTTCGGCCGGCGTGAAGGTGAACTTCTCCTGTCAGGACCTGTTGGCGGATGTGCAGATCAGCAACTGGCACTACGATCTTATCGTGATGTACCACTTCATGGCCCCCGCGCTGTTGGCGCGTCTGCACGAGGCATTGCGACCGGGTGGTGTGCTGATGGTGGAACAGCACATGAGCGGTTTTCCCGGTGCTGCAGGTCCCGGCAGCGATCGATTTCGTATTGCGCCGGGTGAACTTGCGCAGGCCGTGTGTGGTCTTGAAGTTGTTCGGGTGGAAGAAGGACTGTTCTCCCGGGGCGAAGCTGCACCCTTCGCCCTGTCTCGATTACTCGCTCGACGGGTGCGCTGAGCGTACACTGGCCCCATCGCTGAGCGGTTGTCACAACGGACAGACTGCCAGGAACAATATAGCTGAGCTGGATTAATATGCGCGATATTCCAACCTTTAACCTCGGTCGCTATCTAGCCGGGTCGATGGACGCAACAGAGCAACACACGGCACTTGCAGACGTCGCCAAAGCCTGCGAAGACCACGGCTTTTTTCTCTTAAGTGGCCATGGCTGTGATGCACTGATCGATTCAGTGTTTGCTCAATCTGAGCAATTTTTTGCTTTACCCAAAGACGCCAAACAGGCGGTATATCGAGATGAGCAGAACCCTCTGGGTTACTACGATCGCGAGCTGACGAAACAGAAGCGTGATCAGAAGGAAGTTTTTGACTTTAAAGCCGGTGGCCATCAGTCGAGTAATCCGGCGCGGCAAACCCGATGGCCTGCTGAGTTACCCGGATTCAAACTGACGTTGTCTGAATTTTTCAGCTGCTTTACGCGTCTGTCTGAGCAGACTATGGCGATGATATTCACGGCACTTGGCATACCTAAGACAGATATCCAGGTATTGTGTGACAAGGGTTTTGGCGACCGCCATACCAGTGCGGCAAGGCTGAACTACTATCCCGCAGAAGATCCCGTGCCTGCCGCCGAGCGCGCCGATGTTTCAGCATTAGGTGATCTGGCGCTGCACCATCATACCGACCCAGGCGCCATAACTCTGTTGTTGCAGGACGACCATGGCGGGCTTCAGGCGCTGTCTAAAACGGACGGTTGGATTAATGTGCCGCCGCAGCCAGGAACCATAGTTGTGAACGTCGGCGACGTTCTGCAGGTGTGGACAAACGACCGCTGCACCGCCGGTGTTCATCGCGTTTTATCGGTGGCCAGTTCGCGTGGACGTTACAGCACGCCATTTTTCTATCAACCCAGGGTAGATGCGCTCGTTGAACCCTGGCTGGCAGCGGATGAGACACCCCACTACAACAGTTTTTCATGGCGGGATTATATTCGTGGGCGGGTAACCGACAATTTTGCAGATTACGGTGAAAGCGACATCCAGATTGACCGCTACCGCATAGCCGCTGAAGCTCAGTCATGATTGATGCCTCGCCGCTCAACCAACAATTCACTGACAAAACAATGATTTGGATAAAGCACCCATGACCAGAACACCACGCGCGCGCACCATTGAAGAGTTTGTGGCTAATCTTGCCCCTTCTCCAGACGATGAAGCGCCGAATTACAAATCCTACACACCGCAATCGGGTGATGTTTTCATCAGCAGCTGGGCGAAGAGTGGCACAACTTTGTTGCAGCAGATGTTTCACCAGCTGCGCACCGGTGGAGATATGGATTTTGACGACATCAGTCGGATGACGCCCTGGGAAGACACTGCCCTGATGCTCGACTTCGACATGACTGTGCAGCAGGTGGCTTCGCCAAGAGGATTTAAATCACATCGTGATTATCAGAGGCTTCCACCAGGCATGCGTTATATCGTTAGCCTGCGCGACCCGAAAGAGACCTATGTGTCCTTCTATCGCTTTATGGATGGCTGGCAAATTGAGCCGGGCGCTATCCCGATGGAAGATTTTCTACCGATCTGGATGTCGGGCGGTCCGGGCGGCTGTGACTATGTCACCCACCTGCTGAGCTGGTATGCGCGCCGCAACGAAGCGGATACTTTGCTCGCGAGCTATCAATGGGTGGTTAAGAACCGCGCGGAGATGATCCGCCGGATGGCAGAGTTATGCGGCATAGAGCTGACGCCGGAATTGGCCGACCTGGTACTGCATCGCACCTCCCGCGAATACATGGTTGAGCACAAAGATAAATTTGATGATGCAATGGTCAGCGCTGCCTTAGAGCGCAAGCACGGCATCCCTGCAGACAGTGACTCCAGCAAAGTCCAGGCGCAAGGCAGCGATGCCAAGGTGCTGCCCGACAGCGTTGCCCAAGCCATAGATGCAATGTGGGCAGACCAGGTGGCCCCTGTGACAGGTCATGCTGACTTTGCATCGCTGGCGCGCAGCATTGACGAACGAGGCTAGACTCGCGGCTTAAGCAAGTCTCACGCGGATTAACTTGCCTGGGGGTTAAAACACCGCCAGCGGGTTCAGTGGTGAACCCGTGCCGCCGGGTACCCGCAGCGGCGCGCCGACAAACAGAAAGGTCGAGCGACCGCTTGCAATGGCTTGTTGTGCAACGGCTTCCAGGTCCAGGTTGTCAAGAATAGGCATTCCGAGGCCGACGAGTACCAGTTCGTGTAAGGGGTTCACGAGACCCTCAACGCCAGAAGGCATTACATCCGATACCCCGTCGCAACCAAGCACTGCGACATCACGGGCCTTTAGCCACCCAGCGACGGAAGCATGCATACCTGCCGCTGCAGCAAGGAAATTGTACGGCCCGTCTTGTTTGACTTTAGCCCAGCGTCCGGTGCGAATCAGTAGTACATCGCCGCTGGAGATGGTTACACCGCTTTGCTTTTCCCATGCCTCGAGGTCTGCCACGGTAATAGCAGCGCCCGGCTTTAGAAAATCGACGCCCAGCATGTGTGGAATATCGACCAGCACACCACGGGTGAATACCCCGTTTATGCCTGCATTGTGTATGCCCAGTCGCTGTGCGCCGTTGGCTTCGGCAGCTTCGTAGGGAACGTTGTTGTAGAATCTGCCTTTGTGAGCGAAGTGCGGCAGGCCATCCATGTGCGAATGGGCAAAGCCATGGTATTCAACACTGTACTTGTCGCCAGCAACCTGATGGCCGCCAAACTCCGCTCGTGACAGTTCGTGTTCAAACGGATTGGCGTTGAGCGTATCCTGGGTTTTGTTTAATTCCAGCGCCATGGATACGGTAATACCCTCAGTGACCAACCTGGCTGCAGCCAGGCGTTTTGCAGGCGTTATCAGATTGAGTGTGCCCAGCTCGTCGTCCTTGCCCCAGCGTCCCCAGTTTGAAATGTCCTGCATGAGTTGATCGAATTCAGCCCGACTCATTGCGGGTGGTTCACCCACCGCCGAGGCGGGTAGGCTCAAGACACTGGCAATGATGAGTAGAAGCGCGGTCGCGCCATAGTGCGAAAGTTTCATCTCCGTTCCCCTGATTCACCCTTAATGCATGGAGTGTGTCTGAAAAGCTTGAGTTTCTAAAGCGCTTGTAGTTTGCGCCCGTTGGCGGCGCTTTCTGGTCGATCAGTGCACAGGCTGTCATGGTTGCGACGCTGATCCTTTTTGCCCTTGTCGATCCAGGGTATGGCAGGATTGCCTTGTACTTGTTTAAAAAAAGCTATAAAAGCCGAGTTAACAGCAGCGTGGTTGCATCGGATACAGCTCGAGCGATCATTTGATCGATAAGGAAAGTAAGGATGCACAGTTCTGCTACAACATGGTTTGAGGGTGGTTGTCACTGTGGCAAAGTTCGCTTCAAGGTTCGCATCGATACGCCTGAAGCAATTGAATGTAATTGTTCTATCTGTGTAAAAAAGGGTTTTATCAATGTGATCGCTGCGCCAGAGCACTTCGTGCTCTTGGCAGGTGAAGAAAATCTATCGACTTACCGTTTTAATACGCAAACAGCCGAGCATCGATTCTGTAAGACATGTGGCATTCATCCGTTCAGCAGACCGCGTTCGCACCCGGGAAGTTACGATGTTAATGCCCGATGCCTGGATGCCGGTATTGCCTTTCTGACAGTAGAACCCTTCGACGGCCAGAACTGGGAAGACAACGTCGCGTTGATAGCCGGGGATCCTCCGGGTTAGAAGAAACTCATTGGAGCAGGTGGCGGCGCAAACTGTACAAGCGCAACCACAGCTGCCGCCACGAGACTCCCGACAATGACTGCGCGTATAAGGTAACTGTGAGGGATAGCTTGTTGCATATGTTCATTCGGCAGTGCTTTGTGACCGGTGATCATTGGCTTGATGAGTTGCGTGCGTTTACCCCATTGGTACCAGATGATGGCGCTCAGATGAATCAGCACCAATGCCTGTAAAACGTTGAAGTTAATGTGATGAATGCCAGCGAGCTCACCTGCGGTACTGTTGCTGACGATGCCGTTGTAAGGCCCGGCATAAAAAATGTCGTCGCTGATGAATAAACCGGTGGTCGCCTGAGTTGCAACAACGCCCAGGAACAAGACTGTCGACCAGCCGCCAATAGGGTTATGACCGACATAAGTCGAAGGGGTTCGATTCAGCAGTGCTTGTGCGCTGCTGATGACATCTCTTGGTCCTTTAATAAACGAGCTGAAGCGCGCATGGGTAGGCCCGATGAAACCCCAGATCACGCGAAAGGCTATGAGCCCGAGGCTGGTATAGCCAAAAAGAAAGTGTGTCTCGGTCCAATCGAAGCCTGCCTCCGCAGTGATCCATGAGCCAGCCAGGCAGAACACCAGTAACCAGTGAAACAGGCGGGTCGGCAGGTCCCAGACCAGGCTTTTCAGCGCTGGCTGGGATTGTTTTGTGATTTCGGGATTGTCTCGAGTCACGCCCTGATCTGGTGCGGGCAGATCAGTTTTGTTGGCGGTAGTCGTCGTGGCAGCCTTTACAACCTGCGCCCAGAGCACCAAACGCCTTCATCGCTGCTTCCTGTCCGTCAGCTGTTGCTGCGGCCAGTGCCAGTGCGCGCTCGGTCGCCGTATCGGTTTTTGTCTGAAAATCGCCCATGTTGTCCCAGATTTCATTCAGCGCTTCTGTTTCTAAACCCGATTCGCGAGTGTCTTTGCGAAAAACGTCAGGAATCATAGGTAGTAACATGGCCACTTTTTCGGCGTTGTTTTTCACGACGTCGGCATCGTAAGGGATCTGCCCTCTGGCCATGCCAACGATCGGTCCGAAGTAGCTGACAACAACTTTGAGTAATCCCTGGCGGGTATCAATGGCAGCCTGGGCTTGCTCGTCAGCGTCTGCAGCAACCGCAGGTAAGCCGGTTAGCAGGGTGAAACATAATGCAACAGCAATAAGGACTTTGGACATGGTGTCTCCTAGGTTTGTAGACATGTTTTTGGGAAATCTATTCATGTGGTCGCTCTGGATGATACCTAGCTCTTGGGAAGAGGGCTACACGAGACATACAGTCTGATTTTTGCAGGTTACATCGATACTAAGCTGCAATCCGGTAAATCATATAGGCAAAATAGGTGGCAACGATGGCCGCGCCCGCGCGCCTTCCGAGGCGAGCACCGCTGAATAAAAACAAGGGAATAACAACCAGCACAAAAGCAAAGCCAACGGCCAGATCCAGGTCGCCCCCCTTTGGAATCGGTATGGGTACAATTATGGCTGCAGCAGGCAGGACGACCAACGAGTTAAATATGTTAGAACCGACGATGTTGCCCAGTGCAAGGTCAGTTTCTTTTTTGTAAGCCGCGATCGCCGAGGTTACCAATTCAGGTAAGCTGGTACCTACCGCAACAATGAAAATGCCGACGACAACTTCTGGCATTTCCAGCAACCTGGCAATAGCTGAGCCGTTTTCAATGGTCAGCGTGCCGCCCACCATTAACAGGGCCATACCTGCTACCGACGCGGCGCTGTTCACTACCAACCCGGTGCGCGCAGGTGCCGGAAAGTGTTCAGCTTCAGCGAACACCGGGTCACCTGATTCTTTAACAACATCGCGCACGACAAAATAAATGAACACAGTAAACATCAAGAACAGAATGATGGCGTCGCTGCGGTCGATCAATGGTGTGGTGCCGTTAAGTGGCATGTCCCAGGCCATCACCATTAATATGGCGGTCACCAGTAAAAGGAACGGTACTTCGCGCCGTACAACCTGACCTTGAAGATAAATTGGCGACATGATGGCGGCAATGCCAAGTACCAGACCAAAGTTTGCCAGGTTAGAACCCACCGCATTACCGAAGGCGATATCTGTTTCACCTCGGATGGCACCTGTGACGTTGATCACCAGTTCCGGCATGCTGGTGCCAAATGCAACAACAGTCAGGCCGATGATCATGTTGGGTACGTTGAATGCGGCAGCAATACCGGATGCGCCGCGCACCAGTAAAGTACCGCCGACCAGAAGCGCTGCCAGGCCGAGTGCCAGTAACAGATAAACCATAAAGTAGAAGTGTTATGTCTTTTAACCCGTTCAGTATGTCCCAAGCCAGCGCCGATGGCTAAGATTCTGCTTATAAAAAGGTTGGAACCTAAGACTAACTTGGTCAGGTCATCTTGTGAGCCCGTTGTTTGACCATTAAATCGGTGCGTTCACAGTTTGCATAGGGTTGCGTATAGTCACTTCGTTTGTGGGAGAAACTAAGTGAAAGATTGGGCTGTTGGTGGTGTCAGTATTGCTGCGGCGTTGGCTGTGGCCGGATTGATAGCGTGGATGGCAGGCCCATACAGTGTTACTGCCGGTGGCTGGTCTGTTTTTGTGTTATGCGCAATGTTTGCCTTCGGCGTGCAGTGGATAGTTTTTGTGCACGCCTGGTTGACTAAAACCGAGGTCTACTACGACCTTACCGGCAGTATTACCTATGTCGTTATGGTTGGTTCGGCAGTCTTTTTAAGTGGCACGAATGATATACGTAGTCTGCTTATTGCGGGGTTCATCTGTGTCTGGGCTTTGCGATTAGGACCGTTTCTTTACCGGCGCATTAAGAAAGCGGGTGAAGATCGACGCTTTCGCAAACTTAAAACCTCGTTTCCCATGTTTCTCATGACCTGGACCTTGCAGGGCACCTGGGTATTCATCACAGCGTGTTGCGCTCTGGCGGCGATTACTTCAGTGAATCAATTGCCCTTAGCCGAACCTTTTTACATCGGCGTTGTTCTATGGCTGGTTGGTTTCTTGATAGAGGTGATTGCGGATCAACAGAAATCAGCTTTTCGTGCGGAACCCGCCAACAGCACACGTTTTATCTCAACGGGTTTATGGGCATGGTCGAGACACCCGAATTATTTTGGTGAAATTCTGCTGTGGCTGGGTATTACGCTGATGGCCTTTCCAGTGCTGCAGGGTGGTCAGTTGATTACGCTGATATCGCCTATATTTGTCTTTGTTTTATTGAACTACATCAGCGGCGTACGCATGCTTGAAGCTCGAGCGCATCGGCTCTGGGGCGATGAACCGGACTACCAGGCTTATAAGCGCCACACGCCAGCGCTGATGATGTGGCCACCCAAAAAAAAGTGATTGACTGACGACTGGCATGAACTGGGTTGATCAGTACATACCTTTGACGCTGCGGGAGGATGCGGAGCAGTGGCGGCTTGCCGCCGTTACAGTCTATGCCACGATCCTTGGCAGTATTGCTTCCCTGCTGTTTTTTCTCAGTGTTGCTGTTGCAGACGGATATGCCGGCGCGTGGCTCGGCCTATTCTGGGTCCTCCCGATTGCACTGACTTATCCGGTCATGCGAGTCACGGGTTCAGTGAATCTGGCTGGGCAATACTTCCTCTTTGCTGTGGCGGTGGGCGTCACGCTCGCCTGCGCCCTGCACGGCGGCCATTTTGTGGTTGGCTATCTTGGCCTTGCCATGGCGTCAGCGCATCTGCTGGGATTTCGGGGCGCGTTGTTTTGGACGCTGATATCTGCCGGCATGGTGCTGCTTACGCCGCAATACCTGGCTTCGCCACAGCCGCTAGCATCCAGTTTTAATCATGCGGTAGTTGCGATGATCATTGTTGTCGGTCTGGTCGCGGCAATTGTGGAGCACTTGCGTCGTAATGCTGTGGCTGAAGCTGCGAAGGCTGTAGATGAGCTCGAAAAAGAGCGCGCTCGCATGCGGACAGTGGTTGAAAGCCTGACGCCTGGGCTGATAGACGTTGAAGATGGTCGAATCACTTATATTGCGCCTGGTGTACGTGAAGTATCAGGTCACGAGCCTGAAGAAGTGGTAGGTAAGGATATTCTCAGTTTTGTGCACCCTGACGATATCAGCCGCACAATGAACTGGTTGGCGATCGCCATGCCCGGTGATTATGTCGAAATTCGGCTGCGTCACAAAGATGGTCATTGGGTCTGGATGAAGGTGCATCTGATCCCCATGGACGGCGGTGGTGAAGGTAATCGGCTGCGCCTTGCCGGATATGATGTTTCTGCAGAGCGTGACTCACGCGAACAACAGATGCGCGCGCAACGCCTGCAGGGGGTGGGTGTGTTGGCAGCAGGTGTCGCCCATGATTTTAATAATCTGCTGACGGTCATTACCGGCTTCGCCGAATTGATGCCTGACAATGAAGCTAAGGAGAATATTCTTAAAGCGTCAGACGAAGCGGCTCAGCTTGTGCAGAAGCTGATGGCGTTTGGCAAAAGCAGTCCCGTAGAAGGCGGCGGAGCTGACCTTGATAAGATACTCACTGCTTCAGAACCTGTGTTGCGAAGCTTGTTAGCTTCGGTGGGTAAACTGCATGTGAATGCGAATGTCGCAGATCTGCGGGTGCCGATTTCTGCCAGCCAGATCAATCAGATTCTGTTGAATCTGGTGACCAACGCAAAAGAGGCATTGTCGGCGGAAGGTAATGTCTGGATTGATCTTGAGGTACTGAATCTTGATCTGCCGCGAGGCGAGCTGGCTGCGGGATCTTATGCTCAGCTTACCGTGGCTGATGATGGCGCCGGTATGGAGGCCTATACCCTGGAGCATGCGTTTGATCCATTTTATACAACCAAGGCGGACCGTTCCGGAACGGGTTTGGGTTTAGCCAGTGTCTATGGACTGGTAGGGCACGCCGGAGGTGAGGTAGACGTTAAATCGGAACCTGGTAAAGGCACGGCTGTGACTCTGGTGTTGCCGCTGCAGCAGGCTGAAGAGGCAATTACGGCGCCCGCAACAGGCGTGCACCACAGCATTGGCCAGGGACGGATACTCATTGTTGAAGATGACGGGCTAATCGCAGACCTTATTGCGCGGAGTCTGGTGCAGGCCGGCTACAGCGTGACGATAAAACATGATGTTGAAAGCGCTTGGCAGCAGCTGCGCACGGATGTGCCAGATCTGTTAATCACAGACATCATGATGCCGGATGGACGGGGTACGGACCTGGCGAAACGCTGGTACCAGGCCGAGCAGAGTGATGTGCTGCCGATGTTGTTCATTTCCGGGTATTCAGATCAGGAGATTGGTGATTGGAAGGATGCCCGTGGCCCGGTGAAGTTTCTGGCTAAACCTTTTCGTACCAAAGAACTGCTCGATCGGGTGGGTGAGTTAATACAACAGCCGGCGGCTGAAGCCCCGCTTATTCAGCTGGATGGCCATTCATAGACTTTTCTGCAGGGCATCAGATTCCCAACGCTGAGCCATACGCTGCAGCCACCGTCCGGTTGCCGCGAGCTGATGTGCCTCCACAGTAAAACGTATCTGTTTGCCATGGCGTTTTCGACTGACCAGACCGGCCTGCTCTAACAGCTGCAGGTGTTTCACGATAGCCTGACGGCTGATGTCCAGGTTGACTGCAAGGGTCGAGGCGCTGATTGGCCCATGGTCCGCGATGATCTCTAACAGGTGGCGACGGGTGGCGTCTGCCAGTGCGGAAAAAACCTGGTCGACGGCAACACCGGTCATGGCTATTCCTATAATGCAACATCAGAGTTGCATTATAGGTGAGAGATTGTCTCAGTCCAGGTCTGTCATATGCTTTCGAAAAGCAGCTCCAGGCGTCCCTCACGGAGCAGAGTGCCGCGTGCTATTTTCAAAGAAAGTAAGTGTTCACTTAGCTTCTGTTGTGAGTGGGGTATGTACTTTGGTTGACTGGGAACGGTAGTCGAAATCAATGTGTCGGTGTCGGCGATGCCGTACACACTTACATCCTCCGGCCTGCCGCCGTGCAGTGCGCCAAATCCGTAACCGCGACTATTGCTGTGCAGCAGCGGCTCCAGTACGTGCGAAAGTGCGTCGATGGTGTTCAAGTCGATGAAGTGTAGATAGTCCCAGAAAAGACAGATATCTATCTGTGCGCCAGCTGGAATGGACAATTGCCGCTGGATGAAACCGGCAAGCGTCTCAAGGCTGGCATCCATGTTATTTGCAGCTATGGCCGGATTATCAGTGAGATCAGCAAAATAGACTTTGCTTTTGAAGCGGGTGAGAAAATCAACCGTGCTGGCATTGCCCGGCCCGAGGTCCAGCACAGTGATGCGGTCGCCAGGTTCATAGCCACGCAGCAACTCGGGTAGCAGGCGGCTGGTGGTGCGCACCTGCGCAGCGGTGGGTGTTCGGCTAGCTGCCCGACTCACCTACTGCCTTGTCTCGAGGTGCACCGGTTGGTGCTGATTTTGCGCTGGCTGCGGGTTTAGCTGACGCGGCTGCACTGTCGCTGCCCGGGTCCATATCGATGCTGCCCTTGAATTTGGCGCCATCTTCCAGCGTGACCCTTGGTGCAACTATGTTGCCTTGTACGCGGCCACTCTTTGAAATCACTACTTTTTCGGAGCCACTGATGTCGCCAGTGACCTGCCCATCAACCTTGACGGTTTTGGCATCCAGGTTGGCGACCACCTGGCCGGATTCTCCAATTGTCAGATCGTTCTGCGGTAAATCCACAGATCCGTCGACGGTGCCTTCGATCACCAGGTTTTCATTACCTGAAATGCTGCCTTTGACTTTGATGGTTTTACCAATCACTGCGGTGCTGCGTGGACTGAAACTTTTTTCACTGGGAGATGCTGTTACAGGGCTGCTTGTGGCGGGGCTTTCCGGCTCCGTTGAGTCTTTGCGTTTGTCGAACATGTCATAACCTCTTTGTATTGAGTGGACGCTTACAGATGCTAGACCTTAGCGGGACTATAGATCAGGAATTAGATCAACAAAACGGCAATTTACTGTCTCAACAGTTGCGCTGAGACGTCAAATATCAGGTTGGTTTGATACTTAACGTGGCCATGGAGGTTGGCATCAGCTGATTTAAAGGCGTGGCTTCGTTGTCCCAGCGGTCCTCATAGAACCCCTTGAGCACAAAACCGGCGTCCAGTTGACCGCCAATCTGATCATCAAGGCTATGGCTGAACTCAACAGCACCGCCTGCCAGCATTCTGGTTTCGATCTGCGCCGGGCTTAAATGATCCGGGTCGTTGTACGGCAGCTCAAATTTTGCAATAAATTCACCGCCACGTTCGAT